TTGAAAAACCGTATTCTAAAGGTGATAAGTAAAGCAAACTCTGTTATACCAGTATACCGCATAAGCTGAAAAAGTGAAAAATTGCAGATACGACTATCTTGTCTTAGCAGGGCAGTACGGGTTGACTCACACTGAAGAGGCATAACTTTGCGCTTTCATAAACTTCCGTAGCAACTACCTATAAGATAACATGCCAAATATTTGGCCCTTTCAGGGGCACTTTTTGCGAAATTCAACTTTACAGGCATTGGCTGAAAATGCCACATAAAGAATGTTTTTTTGCAGGCGAGTTTGGTTTTGGAAACTTCGTCAAAAATTACCAAAAGCACTGGGCGCAACTAAGCTTTTCCGTTTTACAGAAGAATATTCGCTCTATCTCATGGCTAAAGGTGCAAGTTGCCAGCGATTCTGGTTTGGGAGGAATTAATTTTCGAAAAATGCGAAATTGACAAGCCAATTTTGAAAATTTCTATAAAAATACACTAAACCCTCTTTAGAACCAAAGTTTGCCATTTCTTAGAGCGATAGTCGCTCTATCTTTCGATCTAACTCGGAAGTTGCTGCGGGTATTTCGCCTCAAAAATTTTTGTCTTTAAAAAAGACCGAATTTCCTCACGTCTTTTATTACAGATTGAATTTTTCAAATTAATTTCTCTACTAATTGGAATTTTCTCTTGCAGCTTGAGCCTAAGTGTGTCGCAGGATGCCCTCTAGGTGATAGTTCATGATTACTTTTTGATAAATAATTCGTTCTTATTGCGAAATGGGAGCACTATTCATCAATCTGTAATAAAAGACGTGAGGAAATTCAGTCTTTTTAAAGACAAAAATTTCTGAGGCGAAATACCCAAAAAGAAGTTTGTAAAAAATGAATCCGCCTCAACAACACAGAACTGATCTCCAAAATCGTCATGTTTCAACTATTTCGAAATAGTCCTCTTATGGACGGCACATGCACAACAACTTTGACGATTAAACACAACTTTCCGGCAGCCTGTTCGCCATCAGTCTTTCTTTGATGGCCAGTCCGTTCAGTTCCAGGTCGGAAGTTCGGGCCAAAGTTGACGAGTTTCCGTTCCCTAAGCACAAGTCTTTGGGCCGCGAGTCTCTTGGAAATGTGCCGACCATTGCGACCGGATTACTGTACTGATGGTACTGAAACAATGCAGTTTTTCAATCACAAATTCAACTTTTCTCTGGTATTGTTTTGCAACAGGCAGCCAAAGCTTGAAAATAGAGGCTCTAATCCGGGCAAAAAACTTACTGTAGATTGCGTTAGCTGACTAATTTGCTTAATGGAAACGGGACTAACGGGGCTCGTCCATTGGGACACCAGAACGTCAGTTGGATAACTAAGGGATACGTTGGCCTCGTGGTGTGCGAACACTTGGGATCCAGTCAGAGACAGCAGGCGATTGTCTTCTGCGGCTTCTGCGGCTCCTGAAACGCATATTGAAATGCCAACTCAGTGTTCAGCTCAGTAGCGCAATCGATGAAAAGACTCACCGTACTTTGCAGGAATTATATCAGGATCCTTCTCGTCCATCTCCCTAGGAGATGCGCTACGCAGTAGGGGTTTGGTGGATGACATCGTGTTGCAATGGCCCGGAACTCCGGGCATTTTCTCTTCAATCATCCCTTGAGGGCCGTTTGGCGATCTTCGCACTCGTACAACGACTATCACAATGATTATTATTACTGTGATAGAGGCGCCGATCAAAATTCCCAAAACTGGGGAAATCGCCAGGTCTCCATCAGTTGCTGAAAGGTATCAGAGAGTTGTTGTTTGATGAATGCCGGGTTTGAACAGCGCTCTTATTTTTGGCTGATATTTAATTAACGGGTGGAGCTGCAAAGCTCCAGTTGTCACTGCCGAATAGAGCATTGAGATACGCATTTGTTCGTATAAAACATCAATTCAGAATTGTGTCTGCTTTCCATGCAAAATGCGAAAAATTCGTAGTAATGCGGATCTTACAAACCTCTATTCGGCCGCTCATATTAAGAGAAGCAGCTGAGCTTTAAAGCTATAGTTGATATTGCCCGATAGAGCATCAAAATACACATTTTTGTGTATTAAACATTAATCTAAAAATGTTTTTAATTTCTACGCAAAATGCGAAAATTCAACTTTAACGCGGATCTTCAAAACCGCCCTTAACCTTTGGCTGATATTTACAGAACCGCTCGGGCTGTAATGCTCCACTTGTTATTGCCGGATAGATCATTAAAATCCAAGTTTTTTGTTTAAAACATCAATTTAATAATTTAACAAACCATTTCTAATTTCTACGCAAAATGCGAAAATTCACCTTAAACTCGAATCTTGAAAACCGCTCTTAGCTTTTGGCCGATAGTTAAAGAACCGGTTGAGCTGTAAATCTCCACTTATTTTTTCCGAGTAGAGCATTAAAATTCACATTTTTCTGGTGTAAAGCATTAGTTTTAAAATGTTTCTAACTAATACGCAAATGCGAAAATTTAACTTAAACTCGAATCTTGAAAACCGCCCTTAGCTTTTGGCCGCTAGTTAAAGAACCGGTTGAGCTATAAATCTCCAGTTATTTTTCATGAGTAGAGCATTAAAATGCACATTTTT